GGAAAGCCATCTCTGTCCCTCCTCCATCATGTGCCCCCAGACCTGGTCCAGTGCATCTGGGGATACAGCTCTAGCTGATCAGCGTTTAATTTATTTACTGTTCATAATGGTAATATCCTATTAGCAAAATTTTAGAGTCCAGAGAGTATCTGAATTAAATGAATACTATGAGACTAATTCTGCTTTCAGAACAGCAGTGTAACTCCCATTCAAGAGAAATGTATCTTTATATCTGAGAAAAGAATCAGGCTGAGATGGATTTTGTCATCCACGTAGTGGTGACAATCTGGGAGCTCCTAGTTTTGAGGTTTAACATTCCTCATTTAACCCAGCAGGGTTTACTCATAACATTTTACTCTGGCATAACTCTTAATGTCAACAGAGTCACTCCCAAAGCACACACAATACGTGTATATTATGAAAGCAGAATCTGGCTAGTTGCTCTCTTTTTAAATTAAAAGACTGGGCATAACAAGAGGCTGAACTTAGCCCTTCTGAATAGAAGTTTCATAACCAGGTTTTTTCAAAGAATCTCCACAGGATAATTGTATTGATTTTCTATTTATTATAAACAGGGTAACTTGATTATAATATTCTTGTTGGAACATCTGTTCCCTGAGCTGTCACAACACATGCTAGTCAGAGAGCATGCTCATAAATAAATCAATGTTTACATGATTATTAGACTTATACCTATCTCATAGAGCTGGAAGGGACCCTGAAAGGTCATCAAGTCCAGCCCCCTGCCTTCACTTGCAGGACCAAGTACTGATTTTTTGCTTCAGATACCTAAGTGGCCCCCTCAAGGATTGAACTCACAACCCTGGGTTTAGCAGGCCAACTCTCAAACCACTGAGCTATCCCTCCCCCCTTGTTTCTGTATTCAGTGTATTCACTATAAGATTATTAAAAATATAAAATGTATATCCAACTCAGAAACAACAATTCCAGCCCTCTTATCACTAATTCAAAAATTTGAATGACCCAGGGTCTGAATCACTTGTCCCAAAGCTGCAAGTTTACCTGAAAACAGCTCACAGTAGTGTGCTTGTCTTTAGCACTCAGATGCCCAACTCCCAATGGGGTCTAAACCCAGATAAATCCGTTTTGCCCTGCATAAAACTTATGCAGGGCAAACTCATAAATTGTTCGCCCTCTATGACACTGATAGAGAGATATGCACAGTTGTTTGCTCCCTCAGGTATTAATACATACTCTGAGTAAATTACTAAATAAAAAGTGATTTTATTAAATACAGACAGTAGGATTTAAGTGGTTCCAAGTAGTAACAGACAGAACAAAGTAAGTCACAAGCAAAATAAAATAAAATGCGCAAATCTATGCCTAATCAAACTGAATACAGATAATCTCACCCTCAGAGATGCTTCAGTAAGTTTTTCTCAGACTGGACACCTTCCAGGCCTGGGCACAATTCTTTCCCCTGGTACAGCTCTTGTTGCAGCTCAGGTGATAGCTAGGGGATTCTTCATGATGGCTCCTCTCTCCCTCTGTTCTCTTCCACCCCTTTATATATCTTTTGCATAAGGCGGGAACCCTTTGTCCCTCTGGGTTTCCACCCCCCCTCACTGGAAAAGCACCAGGTTAAAGATGGATTCCAGTTCAGGTGACATGATCACATGTCACTGCAAGACTTCATTACTCACTTTCCAGCACACACATATACAGGAAGACTCACAGGTAAACACAGTCATCTGCAGACAATGGTCCTTGTTAATGGGAGTCATCAAGATTCCAAACCATCATTAATGGCCCACACTTTACATAATTACAATAGGCCCTCAGAGTTATGTTTTATATTTCTAGTTTTAGATACAAGAGTGGTACATTTCTACAAATAGGATGATCACACTCAGTAGATTATGGGCTTTGTAATGATACCTTACAAGAGACCTCTTGCACAAAGCATATCCCAGGTGCATTATATTCACTTATTGTCAATTTTTTATAACACTATCCCAGTTACATTATATTCACTTATTATCATGTTTTTAATAAAACCATATAGACTGCACAACATCACATTGATTTTTTGCTTCAGATGCCTAAGTGGCCCCCTCAAGGATCGAACTCACAACCCTGGGTTTAGCAGGCCAACGCTCAAACCACTGAGCTATCCCTCCCTCCTTGTTTCTGTATTCAGTGTATTCACTATAAGATTATTAAAAATATAAAATGTATATCCAACTCAGAAACAACAATTCCAGCCCTCTTATCACTAATTCAAAAATTTGAATCAATATCTGGTTACAAACTAAATTGGAAAAAATTAGAACTGCTCCAAATCTACCAGTTGAAATGCAGAGGGGTTTTCTCTCCATTGAATTTCCATAGGTAAACTAATGCAATTGTGTACCTAGGTATATTGTACCTGTGCTGCCCCAGCCCTGCTTGGACTAGCAGCTAGGAGCCCCCAGCTTGGGCACACCCAGCAGCACAGGGAAGATCGGATCCAACTCCACAAGCCTCCTCAAGAAGTATTAACTAGTGAAGATAAATTTAGATCATACACTCTCTCAAATCATTAGTGTACAACTAGGTAGCATCCTCTCTCCCTGAACCTGTGAGGAAGGGTTAACACAATAAAAATGAATATTCTGCTTAGGCCACTTCAGATATAGAGGTGCCTGCCTGTATTTATCCCAAAATCTTATTTTAGAAAATTTAATAGCATTATTAGAGCCTTCCTCTAGGGCCCTGATCAACGTCCACAATTATCACTTAACAAACTCCAGTTCCCTGTAACCAATGGGGGCACTGCACTCCCAGACCTACAAAATCACAATTATGATTTTATTATGTCACAGATATCAAACCAGTTCCAATATCCTAACATCCTTATACCCAAATGGGTGGAAACTGAATGTGTATTAATGAATTCTATTCCCCCTGCAGGTCTCCTCAGTTTCTTTTTTTTGTCTGAGGGAGAAAAACAAGGTGCTTACAGTGGTGGCTATCGAAAGGGTCTGGGCTATCTTAGCTAAGAGGTTTCAATTTCATCATTGAAATCATGCAAAATCACCTACCTGGGTAACCCAGATTTGCAAGTCAGGAACAAAGCTATAATTTGGAAAAACTGGCTGAGCAGGAGCATCATATGGTTTTCCCAATTAGTCAGTCATTAAGGCTTTGTCCATTTTCTGTCACTAAAGCAACCTTATAACCTGCCACCCTCAGTGGAGTGGCAGTATTTACAACTAAGACACTTGCTAACATATCAGTTTGGTCCGGATGCCCTAGGACTGCCAGAGGCCACTCAACTACTGGGAACCTTGGAAATGCTTCATAAACAGCCCAGGCCCAAGTCCACTATGTATACTTTGCTAATGAAGAGGAATCTCATTAATTTGGTGTTCATGAAAGAATGGGAAGGGGAGTTATCAGAGCCCTTAAAAGAATCCAAATGGCAGAGCATATTACATAATGTTAAAAATGTCTTTGTGGATCTCAGGTTATGTTTGATACAACAAAAGATTTTATTCAAAATGTACTGGGACATCAAGGAGGTTGCACAAGATAAAGGCCTTATCTTCTGATATTAGCTGGCACTGTAACAAAGAAGAAGGAACCCTGATGCACATACTATGGGACTGTCCCATAGTTAGGCAGCTGTGAAAAGAGATGGACTCAAGAGTTAAAAAGATGCCCAGCTTTCAACAGTCAAACCTCAGCCAAAAATGAGGCCCTATAAACTGAGTTTAACTCTGCCACAAAGACTTTGGTTCTTGAGAGCTGCAATAGTCACCAAGTACATGATTTTACAAAAATGAAATTGTGGGTTTATGCCTAGGGACCTACCAAATTGACGGTCCATTATGGTCAATTTCACAGCCATAGGATTTGATAATTGGTAAATTTCATGTTTTCAGATGTTTAAATCTGAAATTTCACAGTGTTGTAACCGTGGGGGACCTGACCCGAAAGAGCCGGGGGAGGGGGGTGTTGCAAACCGTTTGTAGGGGAGTCATGGGATTGCCACCCTCACTTCTGTGCTGCCTTCAGAGCTGGACAGAGTGGGGAGCAGGGGGTGCAGAGCTATCTGCAGCTGGAGATATACCCAAGAGTAGCCCTGCAGGGAAAGATCAAGTCCTGTGCTGCCCCAGCCCTGCTTGGACTAGCAGCTAGGAGCCCCCAGCTGGGGCACGCCCAGCAGCACAGGGAAGATTGGATCCAACTCCACAAGCCTCCTCCAGCTGCAGGAGGGCTCTGTGGCTGGTCTGGCTGCTGGGGCTGGTCTGGTTTCTCTCCCCACCCAGAGCAGCTGTGCAGGGGAGGGACAAGTCCTGTCCCTCCCTTACCCAGCTGGAGCTAGGTGCCCCCTTTGCTGGGGTATTCCTAGGAACAAAGGGACATCGGATTTCATGGGGAAGGGCTTATTTCATGGTCCATGATGTGTTTTTCACAGCCGTAAAAATTGGTAGGGACTTACTTATGCCCAAGAATAGAGCAGTAGTATTCCACTATGTCTGAGTTAGCAGCCAAAGAAAGAATAGTTTATTGCTGTAGACAGCAATTATATGAATCTGAAGAAACTTGGACCCCATTTCTATATAAAAATGTGGAGATGGTTTAAAGAATGCCAGACCTCCATTCCATTGAACCTCTCCTCTCCCTTTCCCCCTCACCCTCCTCAGTCCTCTCCTTCCCTCCTCCGCCTATTCATGTATAATCTTCTCCTATTTGATTACTGTTACCCCCACCCTAATATGTTATGTCTCAGTAGTATATCTGGTCTTGCTGCTTTGACAAGTTGCAAAATTGCATAGTTCCATAATTCTACTGGAGAGCCAGTGAAGCATTCAGTATTTGAAAAATACAAAAGTTGTAAGTCATTTGCATTTCTGTACTTTTCGTTGCCTATCTCTTTCTGAAAATCAATTTTAACAAATTACAAAAACATATAAAAATGTCTAAAATGTTCTATATGTTACACTTATTTTAGCAATAAAATGGCTGCAGTAATTAAGTTATGTATTACTTACCCCTGTTCTTTGAACTTCCAAGAAAATTGCTCTTTGAAATGATTTTTCCCATGCCGCCAACTCACTGCCAAGCTCTACATTAAAATAATGACTCTTGCCATGTCCAACCATGACACTGAAACAATATGGCCTCTGGTCTTCAAGCTCATAGTCCTGATGAATACCTAAATACAAGTTTGCTTGTAGCCAGCAATCATCAGCAAGCCAGAGCTGAAAGACATGTTTTAGTAAGTGATATTTCAACTAGTACTAAACAAATAATTAAGGCGGCATTGTCTTATGTCTTCAGCAAGTGACTTTGAATCAGAGTGCCTGTTCTCAGTTCTGTTACTGACTCACTGTCAATTTAAACTGCTTTGTGCCTTAGTTTATCTATCTGTAAAACTGGTATGTTAATACTTACCTTTCTCAGTGCAGTGTCATGAGAATCAATTAATGTTTGTAAAGGCTACTGCTCTCAGACTCTCTCATTCACAAGGTCAAAACAGACTAGGTCACCTCTATTTCTCTTTCTATCATCTAATCTAATCCAGGTATTTCTATAGTTTGCAACATACCAATGTAAGCAATGCAATCTGTTATTAAATACAATAAATAGTTATATTTTAAAAGGAATTAATATTTTCATGTGGAGGTAGGTGGGGGAGAGAAGGAGGTGGTTGGGGAGAGTGACATGAGACTTCCTCAAGGTGCAAGCAAGTATTCTGGAGAGGTACCATGGATACTGGAAATAGGATGTGAAGGTGGATCAAAAGCTTCAAATTAAGGCTCTGACAGAGAGCTGGTGACTGCCACTGGATTTCTGGAGGAGTTTCTCAAAGAGAGCTCCAGAATCCTACGTAGTGAATCTAAGCTCTGGGACTCCAAGCTGGAGAGAGACAGAGATACCTATTATAAGTGTGTTGGGAATAAAGATTTTTTTCAGATGTTCATGAGCATCTACTTAGAAAGGAACAGTATTTATATTTCCTTTTACTTTATATGTGTGCATTTGAATTCATGCTTTTCTTAACAATGTGAATAAACAAACTTCTCATATTAATGTATTTTTGATATGTAAGCCATGCCTGCTTTGTGTGGCACTCTGTCCCCCTCTAGTGGTGGCTAGATCAACTAGAGATTGATGAGTCTGCTACAGCCATGGCAAAGAGAGCTCGGCCTTTCAGCTCACACAATAGAGCTCATGCATTAAAATCCAGAGGTCCCAGGTTTGATTGCTGCTGCTGGCAACCCAGTTGGAATATCAACATGACACATGGTGGCCCATAGAGGGAACTGAAGGGGGAAGCCTCTGAAGTCCAATGCACTTCCCTGGCAAGGGAGAGCATAGTATGTAAGCCATGCTTGCTTGATGTGGCACTCTGACCCACTTTAGTGGTGGCTAGGTCAACTAGGAATTTATGAGCTTGCTAAGAGAGGGGCTATTTTATCTCAGGTAGCACAAGTTCCTGTATCAAGCACCAAAAGCCTCAAGTTCAATTCCTGTTGCCAAGAGTTTGAGCATAGCAGATAAAAAATGATTCTTTCAAATACATGAACCCACCTGACTGACTAAATCGGACAATGAGGACTTTTGGTTGAAGCATCTAATTAAAATATTTTATTTGTGAGCTTACTTTGCATGTTCTTAATACAATGTTTTGTTCAAATGTCTTTATAGTAACATTCCTCTAAGCTAATAGACAGATTTGAAAATAATTACCTGGTATTAATCCATTGAAGTTAGTGGAGTTTTAACAGGGATAAATTTAAGCTAATTATATTCTTATTTTAGGTCACATAGCTAATCTATACACCAATTGATGCAATTTATCTGTTACAGAAATTTTGTATACTTAAAATTTTAAAAAGTTTTAAAAGTAAAACAAATTGAGAAAAAAAAAATAAAAAACAACCACCATCCAACAACAAACAGCTCTCTATAAATGAAAGTACTTTTTGGAACTTAAATGAGCTCTATCTTACTTAAACTATGCCTTGCAGACACTGCACCCTGATGTGAAAAATAGAAATGCTTAAAAAAAAACCCCAGACAAATCAAATGAGTTTCTTTCATTTTGCAATCTAAGTCCAATCATGTAGAACTCAGAGGTGATATACAGTGGAATTTGCTTATAATTAACTCAGCTATACAGACACCTATGTTTACAGTGAAATAGAGAGAAATTCCTGAATTACTTAAATGCATTTCAGCTGACTTACACTCATTTTATAGTGAAGTTTTACTACGTATTATATAAGGCTTCTTTCCACTATAATTGGGTTTCACTCTGCTAAGATTATGGGAATGCAGCAATTTATCATGGGCTAATGCTAGAAATCACAATATGGTGTGGCAGAGGTCCTCCAGAGCAGCAAGTGCTGTTCCGAAACTGGACGGAGTGAAGAGATACCCTGCAATCAATCCAGGGAAGAACAGGATCTCCTTACAATGAAGATTTTAGTGAACTAAAATACTTCATTATAAGAAGTTTCCAAATACTTCAGTTGGTTATGGTTTGATAAATATATAGAGAAAAACAAAATTAGGTTTGAAGGCTACTATTAATGCCCATCTTCATTTAAAAAAAAATATATAAGAACTTTCTATAACTAAATCCCCAAATGGCATTTTTAAAAATTTTCTTTACCAGTTTCAGATCATATTAATGCTCTTGATTTCTCAACTATTTCTTTATTTCTGTTTGATGACATGGAAGATGAGAAGAGTAGACAGGTATCTGCAGTCAGGAGCACATTTTTCTGCGGTGATCTTGGCTGAAATTTTTTTTTTTTATTCCCATTGCACCTCCCTCCAAGACTGCAGGTTAGGGTGGGGAAGAATACCCAAGTTCCAGCAAGTTTTGGGCAGGGAGCAGTCCCAAAATGGAAATAATAACCACATCCCATTTCACAGCTCTCCTATTTTATAGAAAATCTATTTTATAAATGTTTTAGAAATTTTTTTTTTAATCAGGACTATTACTACTTGCATTCCCTCACATGTAATGGTAGCTTTGTTAGTTATGAGTAACTGTACAGAATTCAAAGGGAGAGACACATTAAAAGAAGAAGGCAAGATTTGGATTTAAAGGACACTAGTGAAAATCAGGATACCTCTCTACATGAGTTAGTGAAATTGCAATATACGGGTGGGGAAAAAAAACTAACTGGGCTCAGACTTCAAAACACACACACACACACACACCATAATTGGGATCAGACTTCAAAATATCCTAAAATAGCATCAGTATACATAAAAATGTAAGCTTTAAAGTCTGGAATCTCAGGACCTTCCAATTATAGAAGCAAATGCTATGTGTCTCTAGGAACCGGGAATTGCCCCCTTTCAATAGTAAAGAGCACTGCACTCCATCCTCTATGTACTTTTCTTATGGTCCCAAAAGGATAGACAGCTGTCCCTAATAGGGCAGATGGGAATTTCCCTTGCTTTGGAGAATCACTAGCTAGCATAAGACTGGCATAAATTAACTCTGTGCCGCCTGCTGCTGCCAACCCCTGGAGTAGTGGACATTCTGGAGGCTGTGTCAGAGGCACAGGGAGGCACGACCCGAGCTCCAGTGATTCTGTGAGCAGAACAGCCCGCAGAGCCATTCTAGCTATTGAAACAGAGTCCTGAGGCTGTTGAAACTGACCTCCAGCTGCTCCTCAGGATTGGAAATTTGGGGGAGAGGGAGAGTAGTAGAGAAGAGATATGCCCCTGTCTTCTCCTTCTGTGCCTGAGGATTTGGCTCCCTGTTTGTAGCTCTGCAGAGTCATGAGACATTGGGTGTTAAACTTCTAACTGCTGCAGGACTGAATATTGTCTGTCCTGGGCCTCTGGCTAGTGTAAGTTTTATTGTTTTTATTTTTTGGGGGTAGGGGGGAATTGCACATTTAATGGGATAGAAGGAAACATTTGGTCTAGAAAAGAGAAGGCTGAGATGGGACCTGATAACCGTCTTCAAATATGTTAAGGGTTGTTAAAATGAGAACGGTGATCAATTGTTCTTCACATCCACTGAGGATAGGACGAGAAGGAATCAGCTTAGCATGCAGCAAGGGAGATTTAGGTTGGATATTAGCAAAAACTTTCTAACTAGGAGGATATTTAAGCACTGGAATAGTTTACCTACGAGATTGTGGAATCTCATCATTAGAGGTTTTTAACATATTAGAAAAACACCTATTAGGGATGGTCTAGGTTTACTAAATCCTGCCTCCAGTGTAGGAGGATGAAGTGGATGACCTCTTGAGGTCCCTTCCAGCCCTACTTTTCTATAATTCTATGATTTTCAGGGTGGGTTGAACTTTAATCAATGTCTGTTTGATGCTGATGCTCAGTGGTATGATTTTTCCGTAATAGTGTATGTAAATGTATGTAATGAATGACACCACACCTGTATACACTAAAATATACACAGAAGCATCCATACCCTGTAGAAAAATAATCTCCAAAGGCACATTTAGCTTCTGGGTTTAGATAGGACATTTAAAGTTAGGCAAGCATCCAATATATCTAGTCTTGAGAATGGCCTTTTAAAACTATTTACTAACTTACTTTCTACCTGCAATAATAGCACAACTATGCTAGTTACAACTGGCTTCTGAAATCTTTAAAAAAAATCTCTCTTAACAAAGTAGTTTCTCTAGTGCACTCTGGGTCTCAGAGGCTGTCATGGAGAAACTTTAATCTCTTCCAGAAATTAAGTTTTTTCCATTTTAATTGATTTGCTCTAAATTTCTATCATTATAATTTATACTGAAGTGTCAACAGAAAGGAGGTTAAAGTGTTGCAGTTGAGTTTTTGTGTTTTAGCTAATGTATTCACCAAGACTGACAATTAAGCATTCATTTATTAGGATGTCAAGAACATTAAGAGTCGAGTCTAAGGTAGTTTATTTCCCACTTTTCTTTTTCTTAATGAAAAAGCAACCATAGAATTTGCTGTAAGGATGGATCGTCCTTGAAATTAACCTTGCCAGAATAGTAAAGGAAGGACTGAGCATCAAATCAGCAAGGGTAATATTCTGATGAGAAAGAAAATACCTCTTTTTAAAAGGCACCAGGAGTATCTACATAAGAACAGAAGAACGGCCATACTGGACCAAAGGTCCATCCAGCCCAGTGTGCTGTCTACCGACAGTAGCCAATGCCAGGTGCCCCAGAGGGAGTGAACCTAACAGGTAATGATCAAGTGATCTCTCGCCTGCCATCCAGCTCCACCCTCTGACAAACAGAGGCTAGGGACACCATTCCTTACCCATCCCGGCTAATAGCCATTAATGGACTTAACCTCCATGAATTTATCTAGTTCTCTTTTAAACCCTGTTATAGTCCTAGCCTTCACAACCTCCTCAGGCAAGGAGTTCCACAGGTTGACTGTGCGCTGTGTGAAGAATAACTTCCTTTTATTTGTTTTAAACCTGCTGCCCATTCATTTCATTTGGTGGCCCCTAGTTCTTATATTATGGGAACAAGTAAATAACTTTTCCTTATTCACTTTCTCCACACCACTCATGATTTTATATACCTCTATCATATCCCCCCTTAATCTCCTCTTTTCCAGGCTGAAAAGTCCTAGCTTCTTTAATCTCTCCTCATATGGGACCCGTTCCAAACCCCTAATCATTTTAGTTGCCCTTTTCTGAACTTTTTCTAATTCCAGTATATCTTTTTTGAGATGAGGAGACCACATCTGTACGCAGTACATCAGAAGCATCCAATCATTTTAGCCAGAAGCATCCAATCATTTTAGCCTGAACATGTTTCAGAAGAGGACAAGGAGACAGAATCAATATTTTGGGGCAGATTCTCTGCCCTATTTTGCTACCTTTGTACTGTTTAGATGGTGCAAAGGCGGCAAAAGCCACCCACCCTTGAGACGGGGTTGCATTAAGGCAATACAGGGCGCTAGACATACCCCCACATGGCTGTGCTTCTGAGGGCCCTGCCCAAACCCACTCCCGAATTGTTGCCTTGCTCACTACTTGGAGTGATAGTGACATGAAACCCCTCCTCCCTTCCCACAGAGGCTAGGGCAGCTGCATGGGGTTCTCCCTCCTACCAAGAGTGGCAGCAGCTCTTCTCTTTCCATGTTCAACAGACAAGGTTAGAGAGCATTTGCTTGGGTAGGTGGGCTTGGACTCCAGCACTCCTTGCCTTTGGTGATACAGAGAGTATTCAGTTGGCGTGGCATCAGCAGAGCACTTCAGAGCAGTGGGCCTTGGAGTTGACACCCCACTGTGATGCCTGTGAACATTCTAGCCAGAATATGGGTAATGGCCCCTGCTATGATTCATCGAAGCATGCAAGGGCATGTGACCAGCTCATGTGACACTGGATTCCAACTTGTGCCTGTACTTTTCCACTAACTGTGCTGGGGACTTTACTTGGAACAATGAAGTTCCCTCCGCCTGGCAGAAGCTATAAAAAGGGGGAAGCAACATCATCACTTGACCTCACTTCCCCCTTCTCCCTCCCCCCCTCGCCCCCCGCATAACTGAATAGCTGAAAACAGCTCAGGAACAAAGACTGGACTGGGGAGATGGTCCCAGGCTGAAGGGATTTCGAGCTTGTGTATGGAAGATTGGTGGACTGTTTGTACCATCAGAGTGAGACACTGCTTGATTCAAATCCCGTCTATTGTATAGAACTTAGATTGTGATTTTGTTTTATTTCTTAGGTAACCAGCTTTGATCTGTACGCTATTACTTACAATTACTTAAAAATCTATCTTTCTGTAGTTAATAAATTTGTTTTATATTTTTTACTTAAAACAGTGTTTTGTTTGACGTGCAAAGGGAAATCTGCTCAAGAACCAGGCTGGTGGATTGTCCTCTCCACACTGAGGGAGGGGCGGATTGGTAAATAAACTTACACTGGTTAGGCTTTTGACCAGGGCAAGATGGTACAGCTCTGGGGTCCTAGGTTGGGGAGCTGGGGGGAAGCGGCTGAATCCGCTCTATTGTTGGTTCATAGTGCAAGACCTGGAAAGGATTGCAGCTTATCCCAGCCTCACAATGTGATTGGTATGCCAGAGGGCCCAGCGGTACCCCAGCTACAGGTTGCACCCCGGGAATGTCTGTCACAGGCAGTCCTCAGTGGGCACAGAACCAGTGAAGCTTGCTGCTATACCTCCCTGCCCACAGCCTCTAGTGCAGAGAACACATCAGTGATGGAGTGGAGCATCATGGACAGGGAGTATAAGTGGGAGGAACGCAATGATCTTTGGTGAGCCCCAGCTGTCACATGGGCCGTTGGAGATAAAGCCTGCTGGTACAAGTTAGACCAGTCTCCATGATGCTCTAAACTGGCCTGGGACAGATAAAATGGTTGTTGGATCTCAGATTATCTGAATTTTCCCCTCTCCTAGGCTTCCTTGGGTGACTGTGTAGGGAGGAGGAAACATCCTTTGCTAGGCACTGCACTACACTAGGCAGAGTTAGTTGAGCTCCTAATCTGATTCCCCCTGCGTATAGGGATTTGCCCCCAGCAGGTAAACAGACAATGAAGCAACAGCATATGGTGGATTGGGGAAATGCTGAGCAGCTGCTCAGAGCACATGCAGCTCACATCAGACCTGCTCCAGGGGCTACAGGGGAAGTGATGCCTCTGTCTACCTCTCTGTATTGACTGATTCAGAGACATCTATTTAAAAACCACCGGGTATGGCTCAGAGAACATGTATTCAACATATAATCAGATATAAATTCTCTTCTTAACACAATCAACTTGGAGGGCCACAAAGTGGACACCAGTGATTCATACTGGACACCAGTGATCTCTCTTTGGACAGTAAAGGATAACATCTGTCTGTCTACCCAGCCATTCCTAATGCATCCAACCCCTCATTTAAAAAAAAATTTTAAAGGGGGAAAACATTTAAAAGTCAATTATTGTTTTACAAAAACGCAACAACCCACAGTTTTGCCTGGTGCAAAACTAAATAAATAATATTAAAAAAGAGAAGTTACATAATAGAGGAATGAACAGCATTGCTCTTTGTAAATATAGGACTACATTTTAAATTATAATGGCTGTTTATTACTTGTAATCTAGTGCATCACTAATCTGTAGTAATGAACTGAATTTTAAATTTATTGCTAAACAAATTACACCCAAAATACAGTCAGATTAGATTATACATAAAACATTCTAAACCATATGTTAACATCACTGTTTTAATTAGAGGTACATATTTCTTTTTTAAAAATGGCCCATAAAATGCTTTTCCCCCACTAAAATATTATAAGATACAGGCTTCATTATGGATAGTGGTTTTATTCATTGTTTATATGGAGGAACTCATACTAATATTTCTTCAGATTGAAAATATTTTAGAAATGTGCTCACTACAGACATGATCCAAATTCTAAATTATCTAATATTTATGCAGGAAATAGTTACAGATTAAGAACTAGTTTTATAGCAATAGACTAACTATTTGTGGGCTGGTTCCTGATAAATCAAATTAAGCTGAGTCTATCATTTATATTGTTAAATGTTAGGAAATTGTAAGCTACCTTGGTTAAATGATATAGTCTGTAATTCTCAGAAGACCTACCTTGTGAACTTTAAATAGAACCTCACAGAGGTGATAGATTTTTTCAGCTCGTACCCAGTCTAGTGTGCTTACCTGTAATACCAAAAACAAAAACATCACACCATTAAAAGGACATGTTTTTCTTTTATGGCAAGGATTTAAAACATTTAAAGAGATTTCATTAATGATTGTTATGCTGGATGGTTTAATCAAATGCCAACCAGTTTCAATTAGTGTATTAACCTAATATCCGATATTAAGGAAAGAGCTCCTAATAGCATCCTGCTTTCATTAGTGCAGTATCCACAGTATTCTTACAATTAAAATGTGTTAATTGTAATGATTTTTTATATTCTTACTTTAGCATGAAGGAAACCCCTTAATGATCTCTGTTGTAAGGTAAATCAGTATTGTTTATTTTATAGCATGCTTAGCCAAATAACTGTCTCAGGCCCTGATTCATCAAGGTACAGTTCTACCGTGAGTAAATCTGATTGACATCCATGGAACCAGTTAAGTTCTTACAAACAGGTCTGTACTTAAGTAACTTACTGAATCAGGGTCTTAATTTTCATGTTAGAAACTGAAAGGAACAACTATGTTTTTATAATAGATATAACTGAAAGGAAATCCAGTCATGTGATTGTTTCTTATGGCTTGATTACATGGCCCTGCAGTGCAGAATTTGGGAGTGTGAGTTGAAGCACATACTAAAGTGTTCCATTGGAACTGCCCCATGTAGACCCAGCTAGCACAAGCTAAAAGGTACCACATTCATGTTAGTGTAGTCCTGTTTCAAAAAGGACTATGTGTTTGTGACCTAGATGCCTTTTAGTTTGTACTTCAGAGCATGCTGCAATTCACACCCCCATAGTCCACACTGTCAGGCCATGTAGACAAGCCCTTGGTAATAGTAACATACACTGAGGTGGAGTTCTTTGTCTTTTGGTTTTGACCCTGTGTTCTGTTGACACTGTAAGGGGTTAAGCCCCAACTCCAGGAGTAAGGTGATTACATGAGAACCACTGCTCTCATTTTTTAAAAGAGAACAAGCCTCTAGTCCATGTAGAAGAAGGCAAAAGTGAGAACCTTTAAGGTTCTTAAACACAAAGCAAATAAAAAAAATCAATTTTTTTAAAATCACGTGATTAGCCCAATGTGATGATTTTTTAAGGCCCAGCTCTTGGCATAATTGACATTATTGTCAGATGTCCATCTTAATTGGAACTAACAAGCATCACTGTTGACTATCTCAAAACAGGATCTGAGAACTGAGTTACACTCTCATCCCTCATAGGAGGATTTCCGGTTTGAGGAACATTGGAAGGGAATCTAGTATTGCTCCTGTCCATGCTGTATCTGTTCAATAGGTAGAGGGCCTCATCTTCTAGGGTTCTCCATTTGACACTTTTCACAATTTAAATATTAATAAAAAATAACTTCCATACACTGTATGGAAAAAAAACACTACTTACATAATCATTCTGTAGCAGTTTTAGCAGAAGTTCTTCAGGTGCAATAAAGCTCAAGGAAAATTACTTAATGTTTGTCAATTTGAAACCTAGTGTAATTAGTTTTTAACAAAATTAATTAAAAGCAATTTTTGATATTCCATCTGTCCCCGAGCCCCTTTATAAAATGTATGTTATTTTAGAATCACACTTTCTAATTTTAAAACAATTTTAAGTCTCTTCTTTCACATGCACCAAATATTAACTTTAAGCTTTCCCTTTACTACTGTTAGAAGCCAGCAATAACACAGGAACAGAGGTGACTAGAATTTACTGTTGAATCTAATTGTGGGAGGTAATATTACACAGTCAGAACATATTTTCAGTGAGCCAAATACTGCAGCTCCTTGCTTAGTCCTCATCTATAGAGAAGTCCCATTGTCTTTGATTGAGGCTTGAATAAGGAGCAACTAAAGACTATGGGATTTGGCCTAAAATAGTTGCCTTCATTAGATGACTTTCATGCTTCTCACAGAACAGCTCTCTACACCATAAACCAATGGTTGACTCATTATTTCGTACCAAGTCATTGAAAGGAAAAGAATTTTCTCCTGAAAAATTAGAGCTAGGAAAATCCTTAGTTCTTGTTAGTGGTCAGAGGAAAAAAATAAGTAGGAGAATCTATTTATGTGTTTGGTGGAGTTCCATTTATTGCCCCAGACTTCTACCTAGCTGCTGCCGAATGGCAGTTGCATTTGCCCATGTCTTTTGCTTTGGATCTTAAGATTAAACAGTTATGAAGAAACATCATGTCACAGAACAAAAGTTATGCACACAACATTAAGGGGACTAAAGCTACAATAGTGTATTATAGTCTAAACCTAATCCAAACCCCACTGAAGTACATGGAAAGAGTCATTAACCTCAGTGACCTTTGGCTCAGGTTCTGGAAACCTTCATTGCCAAAAAAATCTAGACAATTTGGAGTGTATTCAGAAAAAAAACAAATATTAGAGTTTGTGGGACAGATTTAGGAGGAAAGAATAAGTGGCTGTAATATGTTATACAGAAGCTTTGATAATGTGATAACTAAGCGGAAGTACTATAGAAATCAGGAATTGTATGAAGGATACAGACACAAAGGATGAAATCCTGACCCCACTGAAGTCAATGGCATAATATTCCGTTGACTTCAGTGGGTGTAGGATTTTACTGAAAGGAGAGGTAGAATTATTTAGCATTTCAACCACATGTAATGGCATTAAATTAAAAGGGAAAAATAGCTTTACATCGAGTAATATGCCTGCAGTGAGCTGTTCTAACCTGTGGTAAAGAGGTGGTAAAAGCCTCAAGATTTAGGGCTGTGACGTGATTAAAAAAATTAATTGCAATTGATCGCAGTTTTAATTGCACTGTTAAACAATAATAGAATACCATTCATTTAAATATTTTCGATGTTTTCTACATTTTCAAATATATTGATTTCAATTACAACACAGAATACAAAGTGTACAGTGCTCACTTTATATTTATTTTTATTACAAATATTTGAACTGTAAAAAACAAAAGAAATCGTACTTTTCAATTCACCTAATACAAGTACTGTAGTGCAATCTCTTTATCATGAAAGTTGAACTAACAAATGTTGAATTATGTACAAAAATAACTGCATTTAAAGATAAAACAATGTAAAACTTTAGAGCCTACAAGTCCACTCAGTTCTACTTCTTGTTCAGCCAATCACTCAGAAAAACTAGCTTGCTTACATTTGCAGGAGATAATGCTGACTGCTTCTTGTTTACAATATCACCTGAAAGTGGCACTGTTGTAGTCGGCTTCGCAAGATATTTACATGCCAGATGCGCTAAAGATTCATATGTCCCTTCATGCTTCGACCACCATTCCAGAAGATATGTGTCCATGCTGATGACGGGTTCTGCTTGATAAAAATCCAAAGCAGTGTGGACCAACGCACGTTCATTTTCATTGTCAGATGCCACCAACAGAAGGTTGATTTTTTTTTTTTGGTTCGGATGCTGTAGTTTCCACATCAGAGTGTTGCTCTTTTAAGACTTCTAAAAGCATGCTCCACATCTCGCCCCTCTCAGATTTTAGAAGGCACTTCAGATTCATAACTCTTGGGTCGAGTACTATAGCTATCTTTAGAAATCTCACTTGGTACCTTCTTTGCGTTTTATTAAATCTGCAGTGAAAGTGTTCTTAAAATGAACAATATGTGCTGGGTCATCATCCGAGACTGCTATCACATGAAATATATGGCACAATGCAGGTAAAACAGAGCCGGAGACATACGATTCTCCCCCAAGGAGTTCAGTCACAAATTTCATTAACACATTATTTTCTTAACGAGCATCATCAGCATGGATGCATGTCCTCTGCAACTGTGGCCAAAGGATGAAGGGGCATATGAAGGTTTAGCATATCTGGAAAGTAAATACCTTGCAATGACAGCTACAAAAGTGCCATGCAAACACCTGTTGTCACTTTCAGGTGACATTGTAAATAAGAAGCGGGCAGCATTATCCCCTGTAAATGTAAACAAACTTGTTTTTCTTAGCGATTTGCTGAACAAGAAGTAGGACTGAGTGGACTTGTAGGCACTAAAGTTTTACATTGTTTTGTTTTTGAGTGCAGTTATGTAACAAAAAAAGTCTACATTTGTAAGTTGCACTTTCACGATAAAGAGATTGCACTACAGTACTTGCATGAGGTGAACTGAAAAATACTATTTCTTTTGTCTGTTATTTTTACAGTGCAAATATTTGTAATAAAAATAATAATATAAAGTGAGCACTCTACACTTTGTTGTAATTGAAATCAATATATTTGAAAATGTAGAAAAACATCCAAAAATATTTCATAAATTTCAATTGGTATTCTATTGTTTAAAAGTGCTATTAAAACTGTAATTAATTGAGATTAATTTTTTTAATTGTGATTTTTTTTTTTGAGTGAATCACAGGAGTTAAACTGTGATTAATTGACAGCCCTCCTTGGGAAATTCAAAACTAACCAGATACTAAAAAATGTACAATAAGGAACAGTCTTGCACCAGTAGGGAGATGGAGTAAAATTAATAACTAACTTTATGATTCAGACACAGGATTTAGTTGTCTGTTAAGACACTCATGGTAAAGCCTGTGCCCTAAAATAGAGTGTGACTTCAATTTCAGGATATTACTTTGGTTCTTGTATATAATTACAATTAGTAATACTTAGCATTAAATAATGCTTTTCATATTCAAATCACTGTGCCTGCATTCATTAAATTATGCATAATTTTTTCTTCCCTTTAATCTCTTTGCAAGGAGGAACACAGATAAATTAGTCTGTTGGTATTTAATTGTTTCTATTACTTCAAAAATAACGTTGCACTTATTTTTCAATTAAAAGAAATATGAATAAAATAGATCAGTTAGACAGTCACAGTCTTACAGAAATCACTTCAGTGCTACTTTCTTAATCATATTGAAAAAGTATTACGGAATTATGGAGATGCCACGTATCTCCAAAATTATTGTGTTAAGAATTGCACTTGAAACAGGGATGAAACTATATGCTCTCTCTCTTTCTTGCTCTCAAAATAAATAAATAAATAGAACAACGTTTACTATCCAAATT